ATTTCAAATAAATTTGTTAGATGAGCAACAATCAAAAAATGGAATAAGTCCCAGATTAATAGGCCTTACGTATATTAATATAATAGTAACGCAGTATTATTCAATAATAATTTTATTCAATAATAATTCTTTTATTTTATTAAAATAATTTTATCTTCTTAATTATAATAACATTTGCTACTTACTTACAAAAGACACTTTTTCCCATTAATATTATTCCGATGATATATGAAAGACTTCAAAAGATAGTCCGTAAATATTCACGAAATTAGCAAATCGTTTACTAATAAGCACTTTAGCAAAAAAAGCCTTAAAAGTAAATAAGTTCGTGGCTATCACAAACCTTGAAAGTGCTGTGCTCATGCTCTTTTTATGCTCTTGATTTATACTTTTGTGATCTTCGCGCTGCAAAGCTGAGGTCAGTTAAATTTTTAATTGCTTCATATTTTCTTAGCTCCTTCGTTGAACTTCATTTCTTGGAAAACTTTGGGGAACGCCCACTTTTGAGTATATGTAGAATATTGGCGGATTATTAATATCAGAATCATGATCATTTTATTTTAAATGCTTGGGTTATGCGGTTTTGTTAGTAAATCGATTTATGTTACTTCATAGCAACATCCCTTACGGTAATCTTTATGTTTAAGCTTAGAATATTTAATTTCTCTTCTTTATGTGAATTGTGCATACTGTTGATTAAGAGTGATGTAAGCAAAACTATTTATTGGATGCTGATTCGGTTATAATTTTTTTTAACTCAATACAACATATATTACTACATATACTATTATTTCTTATGTCCTTTAACCAATTATGAAGAAATTGTAATGCAATAAAATATATATCCAAAAGCAAATGTACAATATACTGAAGTTATTTTCATCACCATAAGACAAGTCGATTTAATCAAGGCTATCTATCTATCTCTTCATTAATGAATCAGACTGAGTGCTTATCTTTTTGTCTAACTATCTCTATATCGGCCTCTTAAGCTTTTTATATACAAATTAATCTCTGTGTTTATCGGTCTCTTAATCTTTTATTATGCAAACTATTCGCTGAGTTTTCAAAGTAATCAAAAATAACTTGCACATGGACCTTTTATAATTTCAGACAAATCAAGTCGAGAAATTAAACAGTAATGTCAAATCTTGAAAATAAAATACACTTTCAATTAGGCATATATTTATATATTATGCCAAAAGTCGTATTCAAGCCTGAGACTTAGACTTATAAGCTGTGCAGCGAAGTAACGAGATACAGAAAAAAAACACATTAAGATTAACATGTTAAACTGTTACCGAGTTACCAAGTTACCGACTCGCAGTCGCTCTTCCTCGTAGAGTTAAAATTATATTTTACATTTGCTTTAATGCTGTCAACTTTATTTATACAAATAACAAATAAACTCCGAATATGTGTTTTTTAAATATTTATGTCTAATTGAAGTCAAATAAAATATTTTAGTGGTATATTTAATTCATTAGGTGAAAACGCTGTTTGAAATTTGTTGTAATTTTTATTAAGCCACGTATACTCTGCAGTACGATTCAGTTGCTCGATTGCGCTGACCTCTGTTGTCTTGATCCATAGGTTTTAAATAAACGTGAGCCACAAGGATGATTTTGGTTTATTCTAATAAGCAATTTTGTTCTCAAGTTGGATTAATCTACTGTTGCTATCATTCATTTTCGATATATTTATATGTTCCACCACCTGTTTTATAGCCGCGACTAATATTATTCTTTGACGTAATTCATTTTTGCTGAGGCCATCCGATAATATGCAATGGTCTTTCAAGATCATTATGAAAGTCTGTACATTCTCTTCGCTATGCTTATCATTGTAAACTTTAATATGACGATATAATATAACACAGACGAAATCCAAGATTCTTATTTTATTGAGTAATTATCTGGTAAAAATTCACGAAGAACATTAACTTCTATTCAGAAATCAATTTTGGTAAGGTTATTCGACAACTTGCAATGTCCTCCCAGAATAATTCTGAAAATCTTAACATCCTCTTCATTATGCTTCTTATTGTGATTTTTATGTTGATGCAAAGAAGAAATTGATGATTATTATATTAGTGAGTAATTATTAGGCAAATATTTCATAAAAAGTTTAACGAAAATGAACATTTTTGTTTAATCATTAAATATAATTAGTTGTGTTATGTCGCAAATATAACGTGTTAATGCTAAACTTTAACCAGATCTGCATATGTGCATATGTTGGTTGGTTGTTTGCAGTGGCTTGTCAGCAGATAACTTTTTGCTGCTCTCAATTACAGATTTTTGTCCCAAAACTAACACCATTCCGTCGTTTTTAGATAATTTAATATATCTTTTGTCCTTACCGTTGAACAGTCTGACAAACTGTCAAAAAAGTATTTCATTAAAAACTTATTTGTTCTGGAAACCAAAGTCAGGTATACACAAAGAAAATGTGTAATTTTCTCTATTTCTTGTAAGTTTCCATCAATTCTGCAATTAATATTAAGGGAATGCGTAGTTTGTCTGTGTGCGTTCTAAACACTCTGGCTATTATAATAAGTTCTTAAGATCTAGTCTTGTTATAAGTGCGCCATGTAAACAAGGAAGTTACACATGACTTAGTTGTCTTCCACATATGTTATTATATTGGTAAACTGAAGAAAATAGAGGTTATGCTATTACATACGCTTTAAAACCAGATGTTGTTTTGAGTCCGAAATGCAGATTATAATTGAGTATCACATGATTAAATATTATTTAAGTAAATTATATATTCACAATTTTTTTGACTTAATTATCACTAACATATATTATAATCTATTCTAAAAATTATTGATTTTTTATGATTCCTATGAATTCATATAAAATCGAATAAAATTTATAATCAATTTTCTAAGTAACAATTGAAGTACTACGTCATATTAGATAAGACGTCACGTTTGCAGTATTTTTTGCTTTAGATTTTAGCACATGGCAGGCACGCCATAGTCGCTCTTCAATTCTTCAATTGTTCAGTTAAGGAAATTTATTGCTACAAAGACCTTAAATGTTTTCTAATCCTATTATTGTTTGAGAGTCTAAAAAAAGAGTTGACATACGAAATGTTATTTATACACATTATTTTCATTTTATCTTTTTATTAATACTTCCTCTTCCCTGTTCACGCTTTTCCGTACCCATTCCCTTCATAATTAAAAATCATTTAAAAGGATATTAAAGGCAACTTAAGCATCTTCTTATATAACATTTAGGAAACCTGACAAATATATTACCTACAAGCAGAAGCAGAGGTAGATGCAGAAGAAGCACAAGAACAAGCACCACACATACTCAATTAGAATTGTGAAGACAAAGTGTTTAATGGCACACGATTGACTGCTGCCAGAAAAGAGGTGTCTTAAGGGTTGAAGTTGAAAGAACGCCACACTTCACCAGTTCGGTTTAGTTCGGTTCGGTTTGGTTTGGTTTGGTTTGGTTTGGTAAGTAAGTAAGTAAGTTTGTGCTGTGGATTATTATAAATTATTACTGTATTATCGATACAATAATTCACTATTGAAAATGAATTTATCTGCAAGTTTTTCGATCGATTCTATGAATCTATGGGTTGGGATATCAAAAGAGGAGCAGATGTTTTAACTGCTATCACGCCTGGCACATGGCAAGCCAAAAAAAAAGTGAAAGCAAACTATTGTATTTTTATTGTTTTTGTTGTTTTTGTTTTGAACAATTAAATAGGACCTTAAAATTAAAAAGAAGTTGGATTTATGGGTACGTACGGCTGTTTTTGGCCTGACTAAATGACACATTGGTTCACGCTTATACGTTTTTATTTATTTGTTAGTATTTGAAATAAATTTTAATGAATATAACCATAGGTGTGGTGTGGTGTGGTAATATTTTAATGAAAACGCATCATCAATTGAAAAGAAAACTTTATTTTTTCGTCACATGAAATAATTATTATATATGCCAAGAACTCGATGTGTTCCCAAACAAATTCGTAACCATTAAAATTCATAAGCACAGAAGCCCAGAATAGTTGATAATTCAATAAAAAAGACCATAATTTGGCGCTTTCACACTAAATTTGTAACATTTTTGTTAAAATCAAAACTCAGTGTGATCTGGGTAAAAAAGGGATATGCACGTTGTGAGGATTTAAAAAGAAATACTGCTTTCAATTCGAATAAGGGTATAAAGTTGTAAGTTGTACTCGACACAGAGATTTCAGTGCCACTTGCCAAATATTACTTTGGTCTTTCCCACAAAATTTTTTTTTTTTTTGTTTTTTTGATACTTCCTAGGGTGAGTTGCAATGTAGTGGAGCATGCTCTGTGATACGCAAAATTTTATATTTGTATAAGAATTGGCATTTCCTTGCCAATTCTTCCATTTACTGCACGTAATTTCGTTCATTCCTACCCGTCGTAGCACAGTACTCTGTGCACTGAGCTACTACTACACAATGGTAAACATTGCCGGCGGCAGTCTTTTCTTGCCTACATGCAGAGCTGGCAACATTGTTTCTTGCCAATGAAAATCTTTTTGTAAGGAAGGCTGCAGGTTTTTAATGCTCTTGTCCAGAGCATTGTAGGAAAAATTCCTACAATTTTTTTTTAAATCAACAGATATATGTGCATAATTTCCTAATTCAAATGTTGAAGCGGACAGACGTAGCGACGCAGCAGATGTAAATTGTACATTATACATTGATATTGTGTTTTATTGCACAAATAATGTATAATGTGTGCTTTCAAATCGAAATCGTTTGAGAATTACCTACAAATCAGACTACCAGAAAAATTACTACGAAAAAAAAGAAAAACAATCTAAATCTGTGTGGCTCCCAGGTTCTCTTTGAGTGCCGCGCTCAGATTTATGTGTGTACTGCTGCTACTAGCCGATGTGACTATGTGTGACTGTGACTGTGTTATGACTGTGTGCATGGAGAAGAGGTGGAGATTACATTTTTTATAATTAAACATTGTTATGAATACTTACCGTTTGATTGTAGTGGTGATGACGATCTTGACAACCGAGTTAAGTCTAAAACAAAAGACAAGTTTATGTCAGTTTAGTAGTCATATTAATACAATTAAATACTTAATTTAATTTAATTATGTTAAAGAAACACAAAAAAAAGAAAAAAAAAGCAGGTGTATGCCTACAAATCCCTTGCATAATGAAACAATAAAACTATAATAGGTAGTACTTTGATTGTAAGGAGTGTAAAAAATGCTAAATAGATAGTAGAGCATGGAAGATACTATAATTCTCTCTTATAATATATATTAATAAATGGAATCGTTTTTCTATTTCAATATATGTTATAATAAAAAATAGGCAATATATTGACGAGTACCATTGTCATTGCCCTTGACAATGATTGTGCTGTAGAAAAAAGATATCTTCTTTTATACAATCATTATCAAAGCATAGTATGGAATGAGACATTACATCCAATACTTAGGATTTTTAGTGATTTTGCTTTAATCCATGACCGCTAAAATCCGACTGTTGTCCTTTACAACATACCTCTATCATTTCTTTTTCTATCACTTTTCATTATGTTTTAAAAAAGCTTACTCAAAGTGTTTTTTTAGTTCCAAAATAAATTATTGTAAACAATTTTGGGGTTTTTTAAGTGAATTTGCTTTAGTCCCTGATCGCGAAACTCCGTCTGTTGTCTTTTACACCTTGATACAAACAAGATTTTTTTCTTCTATCTCTATTAGTTATTTTTAAAAAAATTTAACTCGATGTTTTTTTTTTTTGTTCATTATTACAAAAGGTCTATATAAATGATTTTTATCCTGCGCCATTTTCGATTAAAAAAATAATTACTTATATATATCATATGATAAACTGTTGCCGATGCTCTTACTTTTCTTATATGGCCAATTTTACAAGTTTGCTAAGATTTAGCTTTATCTTAATAAGAATTATCAGGATTGTTTTCAGCACATCTTATTTTGCGTTACACAAGTGGGTTAACTTTAGTCGGTTTTGTCGGGATTCACAGATGAGGACTCAGTTAATGAAATTATTTTTAAATCGAGTTTCTTTCTGAAAATCATTTAAAATAGTATTGCAATTGGTCCACTGTTTTTTTTTTTTTTGATGAGAGACCAATTATAATGGAAAACATCTTACTTTAAATTGTCTGAACCAAAGCGAGTCAATATTTTCCTAATGGTATAGATTGCGACAGAGTAGAGTGCCTTTATCATTAAGAACTTTTATTATTATCTGTATAAATAATATTTATGGTAGATTGTATCAATATTATGTAAATATGTAAAATATGACGAAATTTCACTAAGTTTTGTTTAACAATAATTTTTAATATGAATTACCACTAACACTATATTAAATATTAAAAAAATATTTAATATTAATGATTAACTAATGAATGTTTTTAACTATCCAAACACACTCAATATTAGTACTTACACCTTATAATTGATAATATAAGTGATATAATAATAATACTTCCTTTTTCATATTCAGATAAATTTAAATTTTTATTTTTTATTTCTTTCATTATAATTGTAATTATTTAATATAATAATTTTTATATTATTCCTTATATTTTTAATGATTTTTAAATAAAACATAATTGACATTTTTCTTATAATAATAAACATAATTAAAAATAAGTTATAAATAATAAAAATATTATAAATAAAATATTAATAAAAATAATAAATAATAATAGTAACTTTATAAATTTAATTTAAAAAAATTATATCAAATTTTAGTATAAATTTTAAATAATGAATTATTTGCACTAAGTAAATTTTATAAACATATTTGTAATATAATAAACTGTTTAATAATTAAAACTATAAAATTATTAAAATAATATTTTTTTTATTATAAACATATTTGAATTACTATTAAATTATTGTAATTATAACGAGGATTATAAATATTTTAAAAGTACTGATTATATTTAGAATATTAATTAAAACTATTAAATTGTAGCAATGTATTAAAATTTTTTTATAAATATATTCGATTGATTATTGTAGAATAGCTATTATTATTGTAACAATTAAATTTTTATATATATTTACAAATTATAAATTAATACGAATATATTAATTTTCACAATGAAACGGAATAAAGTATTTTTTGTTAATTAATTTTTTGTTAATTAAAAAATAAGTTTATTATTTATTTGTTATTAGTTAATTTTTACAATACTGCATTATTAAAATATTCTATAATACACTAAAATTTGTTTTTGTTTACTTAAAAAATTTTATTTTAAATAGATAAAAATAAAAACAAGTTACAAAAAATATAAAGAGTACAATAACAAAAAAAAAATTTATTTTTTCTGCATGTTTCAATTACATATTATATTATTTATATTATATTATTATTATAGTATTTAAGTAAAAATTTGTGTTAACATTAAATAATAAATATTGACCAATCAGGCTGTTTTGCAAGTAAATAAAATTATTATATTAAATATATCGCATTTTTATGTGCATGTTTAATTATAAAATAAATTTAATTAGTATAAAACAATTTCAATATAATTAAAAATGGAAACTATGATTTAATTAAAAACAATAAATTATAAAAATTGCAGTAAGAAAAAAAAATTTTTAATGACAATATATAATACAATATATTTTCCATAATAATTATGTAAAAAATTTAATTATAATTTACATTTATATTACTTTTCATATATTGTATAAATTTAATAATTGAATTAAAAATACAAAACAAAATTTATTTTAAAAATAAATAAATAAGATCATGAAAATAGTATTTGGAGGTAAATATGAAAAAAAAATATTTGAAAGAAAAATATGAAATATGAAATAATTTCAATAAAAATATGAAATAAATAATCATATAAACAATATTTTTATTTTTACATATAAAAACAAAATTTAAGCAGAAAGTTGAAGAGTTTCAACTTTTGGATGGATTAGATTTGCATCTTCATTTTTAAACGAAAATGGAAATAATTTTAGAGTAATATTCTTTCTCTTATGAAATTACTATATATATTCGTATGTATGTATATTTGTATATTGTATCTCATTCATATTATTAAATTCTGGTTTCTACCGAACTTTTGTATTTAACCACTGCAATAAACAGACAAATATTTTAATAAGAAAATCGAAGAGATTCACATTTTCGTCGTAAATTCGATTTATTGATTTTATGTACAGATGCAAAACATTGAGAAGCAAACAAAAGACAGGATATAGGATATGGATATGGATATATGTATATATGAATAAAATGAATGAAAGGAAACTGAAATCATCAGAATGCTGGGTTAACTTGTTGATTTTCTCAAACAGGTAAAGAAAGCGAAAAATCAATACAAGACGGAATACTTCGGAATACTTTTGTGAAAGCGAAATTATTAAGCGCTGAGAAGAAGAAATTAATGAGCTCTGCGAATATTCCTGATGAAAGTGTGGTGTAGGAAGAAGGAAAACAGTGCCTACTGGTTTGTATCGAAATGGATAGGGGATGTTTGGCATCAGAACACACGAGCATTCGCTCGAATTCAACTTATGTTCCTGCAATTATGTATTAACAGACTAAAAATAGTTAATTGAAGGATGCAGGATATAAATAAATATCTGCGAATTGTGATAGTGTCTGTTGATTTAAAATGCGACTGAATAATAAAAGGTTTAAGGCAGTCTGTCTATTTCAGTTTGCACGTCAGTTATACTTTGAGTATATTTTTATTCTTATATTTTGTTTTTTTTTTTTGTTTTTTTGGTGTTTTATATAAAATTAAAATTAAGGAAAAAAAAGTTAAAAATTAGGAAAATATTAAAAAAAATTTTTTATCATCATTATGATAATATAATATTTATTTATAAATTTGAAAAAAAATTTTTTGTCATTATTTTGATAATATAATTCTAAAAATATATTATAAATTAATAATATATGAATATAATATAATATTAGTGCAATATTTTTATTTATATATTATTAATATATAATATATTTTTAAAATTATATTATTATAATTATAATTATAATATATGAATATTATATTAGTACAATATTTCTTTGCAAAAAAAATTAAGAAGTGAGATTATATGTAACATAAAAAATAATACAAAATTTTTCTAAAATAATAAATTTGAAAAATATTTTTTTGTGTCATTATTTTGATAATATAATATTAAAAAAATATTATCAATTAAAATAATATAGTACAATATTTTTTCACTAAAATGTTTGGAAGATTGTTCTTCTTTATTAAAAATTTTTTTTTTAAAAAATAAATTAATTTAAAAATAAATATTTTTAAATTGTGTTAAGTATATTATTATTAATATAATACAGTATTAATAATATATTGTATATTGTACTCTTTATATGTTATAAGCCTTACAGCGGTATTATATATAAAAACAACATTTTTTATTATTCTTATATAAGAATTTGCAGTCAACTAATCAAGTTAATTAAATAAAATATTTTTATTTAATGTTAGCAGACACAAAGATTGTATTAGTGACAGTATATAATATAAAATAGTTACTTAACAAATATTTTATATGAAGCCAGTAGATACATCAGTCCATTTTTGCCAAATATTAGGTTAGAGATACATTTTTTTTGAATTTTTTTTGATATAATAAAAAAAAGATTGAATAATGTACATATATATATATTATATATAATTCTATTGCAATAATAGTTATTGAAACATACTTCTGCATAAATTTTAAATAAATCTAATAAATGAAATATGCATAAATTTGTTGTTATGGTTGGATTCATTGAAAGTTGCTTTTGCAATTGCGTAGATTTTATGGCATTTTTATTGCGTATTAAAATAATAATATTTAAAAATTTAATTATTTTAATAAAATTTAAACAAATGCAAAGGCTGTGATTGATTGATTAGGAAATATAACAACTAATTGCTTAAAAACATTTCCAAGAGCCTAACTAAGACCAGTTCGTTGGTAACTGCTAGAATACTAGATTGGAATCGTCTCGCTTTGAGTTTATACATACTTAACACCTACTATAAGGAAAGGTTATGTAAAAGTTATAAAGTAGGATTTAATTTTCAAATTTTTAAAATAAAAAGCAAAGTATATGGACCTAAGGTGAACTCTTTTGTACTTCGACTGTCTATTGATGAACAGAAAATATTTAACCTTACAAATGAAGTTCAAAATATTTCCTGTTAAGAAGTCTTTTACCAGAATTTGTCACCTGATCTATAAAAAGACTAAGTAAACACTAATAATTAAATAAACATGTTATTCTTTGAAAGGTAGGAACGATATTTTGTCAACATAGTCAGATCCAAAGCGTTTCTTATTGAGATTAGAATGTTCTAGACAATGTCTTGTTAAGGAGTTGGTGCAGCTAAGTGGGGAATATACTTGAGTTTGGTGGGTTAACTAACTGCAGGTAACGTTATAAGATTATACCTAGAAAACTATAAGATTGTACTTATGAGATTATACTTATAAGATTGGCGACATTGAACCTACTCTGGTGTGCGACAAGTTATTGAAAGAATTTGGTTATCGTATTCTAGAAAGATATTGATATCCGATGAATAAATGATAAATATACTTAAAGGTTCGGCAATATAAAAGTTATGAGTATTGACTTGGTTTATTTTAACTCTGGAACAATATTGTAAATCAAATCGATTTTTCGGTTTTTGTTTTAAATCTTTAAATGAATTTTAAAAGAGTCTAAACTTCTTTAGTTTTAATTAAGATTATATTTTAAATTATATATATATATATATATACATATATAAAAAATATAAAATATAAGATTAGTATTTCAGTATTAATTACAGCATGTTATATAAAAAATATTAATAAAAAGTATAAAAATGGAAAAAGTTTGCTCTATACATTATATTGTATTGCAAATTTATCAACTATACATCACACCAAGGATTAAAATAAAACTCGGGGGACACCTGCTATCTGAAAGCGCCAGCCAGAATTTATAGCAGAGTCACAACAGCCGAAAAGCCAAAATAGAGTTCAATGTTTGAGTTCTTATGCTTCACTCTAGCAAGTGACGGATTGAAAAAAAAATTATATTATAAGTTAACTGACAACACTTTATTATAGTAACTACTTTTTTAAAAATTTATGTTTATATAGATAAGTAAAAGGCAGCATCATGGTTATAATTGTGTTGAAGTAATTTAGAAAAATAGGTCTCATAGCTAACTAGCGAATTCATTGACATTATATATAGATAGACTTCTACAGTACTAGAAATCAATAACAATCATAACCCATACTGGTATCACTTAAAAACCGGGGATATGTGCGTTATACCTCAGTGACAACCTGTTTCATCTATTTATCTATTTATTGTATAGATTAAAACAAATGCAAAAATTTGAAATCCATATGAAATACTTTTATATCATATATGTAATGTAATGTATATATATCCGAATAATTTTGTAAATATTAATAGAACACTTAAACATCATTAACGAAAGGACTATCGCATACATGTAAGCATAATAAACGAATAAAATATTTCCGCTGTACTAATAAGATTTTTCCCTTGTATAAACTCTTTCATATTATATATATTCTTATTTATAAAATCATTCTAATTATGGAAACCATTAATAAAGAAATAAAAAGCTTGCCTTCAAGCTATTCCAAATGCCCACTACCGATACACATCACAATCGTGTCGAGATAATCGTTTCAGTTAACAGATTTACCGACTGTTACCTACTTTTCAGCTGTAGGTAACAGCTGTAGAACAGGTACTCTTTCTTCTCTCCCCGCGGTTCTTTTTAAATTTTTTATTTCTTTAAAATTTCAAATTTGAAATGTACTTATAAACAGTTTTAGCTACTGATTCCATGGGTTTGCGAATTAAATTGCACAATTAATATCTGGATACAATCAAGTGTTTATACAACATAATTATATACTGGCATAAACTCAAATGACAGATAACAATTCTAGCGGTTATCGAATAGCATTTCTAATTTGCAGTAAGAAATTAAAAAAAATTAGAAAGTCTAGCAAGAAAGCTTAGCATTGTATAAGTGGTTTCAATGATTGTGCCAGTAATTATTTAAGAACTATAATTGATGATTTTAGTTCAGGTAGAGAGCACTTATCTTCTACATTTCTTATGGGGGGGAAAAAATAAAACATAATGTTATGATTGTCTTAATAAGCTATTAATGTTATTACGCCACAGTGAATTCAAAAAGAAAAACAATAATCTTCAACTAATAAGTATAAACTATTATCGAAAATATTTGAAATTTGTATCTAATTTACTGCTCCTTGTTAATAAACACTAAATGTAATCCTAAAGTGGTCTTCTTTAAAGTTTTCTAATGAGAACTTGTATTTCCAACACTACTGTTACTAATTTAATTCAATTAAGTAAAAATATTATTCATCTGAGAAATTGTCACTATTTCGCCTTCCACCAAAAATTATATATACTAATCACTTCTTAAAAACCCCATCCATCTGAGGAATTCTACTATTTCACCTTCTTCTGATAATAACTACTTACTGATAACTGCTTAAGTTAATAATAAATAATTTTAAATATTATATGATACAATGATATGATACAAATTTATTAATCGAAAACTTTGAAATTTTTATTCAATTAAAATAGGTTTCTAGATTTTTAATAGAGCGGAGCACTGCACCTATAGTAGAAACTGACTCTAACTGATTGAATGAAGGTCAGGTCTGTTTGTGTTCCGTTAGGGTTTCACTAATAACAGGTTAATTCCCTTTATTATTGGTAACAATAGTTTAAACGCACAAATTAAAAGTAACAATTTTAATAGCTTTTATCGTATGGTACCCCCATTTAGTACAACATACCTACTTTAGAAGCATTATAGCAATCAATATATGTAAGATTATGTTTTTCATAGAACCATATCATGGATAACAGATAATAGAAAATATATGATGTACTAAATTTTAACCATTAATTTATCTTAATTGGTCAATATCCTTATGATCAACGTTATTACCTAATCTTAAAGATCACCGAAGTCTTCTTTTAAAATTTCTCTTATACTAAGCAATGTTCTATATCTAGAATACATTCTAAATTCTAAATTTTAGTTTCTTTATATTGTCTTGTTAATATTAGTAATTGTAATTGGTTTCTATTCACTTCTGATTCATGAACTTGTTATTATGCATATAAAACATATAATAATATAAAATATTATTATGTTTCTGATAAAAACATTTGAGAGGTTGTATAACAACTGAGGCCCTTTGATCCAAAGGGAAGCAAATTGGCAGAAGAAAAGACAACAGCAGCGACCGTGTGCTTCAAGGAAAGAATGGTGTAGTTTCTAGATCGTTTGGTTATATTATTTTGTTATTATTAGTTAGTAATATCCTTAATACAATGGGGTTTTTATTGGATTTCTCTTATAATATTAAATAGTTTAGTTTTTAATAAAAACATTTTTAAGGTTGTAGAACATGGGAGTCTGTTTGCTCTATAGGGAAGAAGTGTGACAGAACAATCTGATGACAATAGAGATTCTCTGTTTCGAATGAAAAAAGGAAGGCAGAAGAATCCGACAACAGCGGAGACTCTTTGAATCAAACGGAAGAAAGGTGGCACCGGATTAAATTGTATACCTTATAATTGCTTAACAATTTACGAAAGTTTTGACTTGGTATATCATAGTCAGAGATAATTAGTGTTATTACTAATATTTGTTAAGAAGCTTAAAGTATTTACTTACATCTGTTTTGAATGATGTGCCCACTTGGTGGAGTCTTAAGCATGTTACGTTTGTAGGAGTTGTTATTATCCTCCGGACTTGCGTTCCAACGTATCTCCGACATAACCATTTTTACCAAAAGTATAAACTTTATTTAAACAATATTTTTATCTCTTTGTAAAAATTCAATTTTCTATTATAAATATCAAATAAATATTTATAATTACTTTGAGTGTATAAATTTGAATTAAATATCACTGCTCACTGCAATTTGTTTTTTTTTTGTTTTCAGTTTAAATGAAATTTTATTATCAAATCTCAAGTTTTCATATCTTTCAATCTAAATAGATTTCTAGTTAATTATTGTTATTATTTTCATCATAACGTAATGTGTAGAATATTTTTTGGAATTTTTTTAATTTAATTTTATTTATATTTATTAATTTATAATCACGCACCGAACAGAAAGAACATCACGTCTCACAGTTTTTCTTATCAAAATTTTCTTAATGGATTTTTCAGGACGTCGTCATCGGCACCGACAACGGTTCACTTTAAAATGTTGAGAATATTTTTGAATTTTGAATCGGATGCAAAATTTTAAATTAATGCGAATGTAAAATATATATAAAAATTATATGTGTTCCTTATACTCCTTATACTCCTTTATGTACACTACACATACATGTCGTCGATGCAAAGTCGATGGTAAAGATGGTAAAGTGCTAAGCTAAGGCAAGCCAAGCCAATGTAACTCGTAAGACAATCTACAATGTATATAGATAGACCTTTCCTTTAGAAAAGCAAGAAAGCAACTATTTTCAAATTCACCGGTTTTCGATGCTTTGATTAGAATGTTTTTTACGTTTTTTATGTTTTTTACGTTATGTTTTTATTTTCTTTTTATTTCGTATGCTTATTATTTTGTTTTGCTTTGTTTTGTTTTTTATTGTAACATAATATATACATATTTCACTTTTTTGTAAATTTGCCCTTAAAGTTATTTGCTAACCAGGAGATTTGACGTTTGAGGGGTAAAAAGTGGTAATCAGCTTATACCAAAAGGGATGAAACTCATTTCTGCTGCTCAGGTTTTAAAATCTAATGCATTTGCCTTTTAAATTTGTAGATTTCACCGAAACGCGTTTACTTGGTTTAACGTCAAAACCCCAACTGATTCGCTTAAACTTAAAACTAAGGCAATGAAGAATGACGAATGAGAACAGAAAAAAACAAACATAACATGTATGCATTTCTGGCAGCAAGCAATTTCTTATTTTATTAAATTTTTCTTCCATAAAAAAACCCTCTCACAAGCCAACCAACCAACCAACCAACCAAACAAACAACCGTTCTTTATCTACTGTTATTGTATATTCTCGCATATATGTGTTGGTGTGTAATCATTGTAAGAAGAAGGTTCCACACATTGTAGATAATAATTTTTCTGTGAGAGTCATATTCCTTTATATTATGTTAAGCATGCATGCTCTCACTCTCCCATTACTCTAGTTAGTTCTCTTATTATAAATGAAAACATACAACAAATCATACACTCATACACTCTGCATAAACGAATAGATTCCACAGTGTCAGTCTGTTTTTTTGGAAAATGAATGTGTGTGTGTACAAATCTTGTTTTGTATTTGCTACTCTGACTTCTCGAAGGGGAAATTATATTGTTGTTGTTGTTGTTTTTGTTGTTATGTTGATACGTTGATACGTTGGTACATTATTGTAATGTGTGATTTCCTTTTGTATGAATTTGAATTTTTGTGGATTGTAATATTGTAGACAACTTCATAACACATTTTATACAATAGTTTAACGGATTTGGGTACAAGGCGACTACTTGGGGTAACATACATTTTAAAATTTTACTGATGTTTTTGAAGTTGTTGTTTGTTGGTTGTTGGTTGCTCCATTTGGAGGGTGTGGCTTAAAATTTAAATTTTGTACCTTATATTATTTTTTTAATACTAAAGAGGCTGTTCAGTTTGGATAACAATTTTATAATACTTTATACTTAACGTTCATTTGCAGATAGGAAACATTATGAACAATGCATATTTCTTATGATGAAAGGTTCAACATATATGTACGTAACCATATATGTAACCTTTTATATGTTCTTATGACTTCAACTTGATCGTATTTTAAATATATGTATATGTATATAAAATTACTCATAAATTTATGTATACGAAATGTTATTATATAAGTTTAAACTAATCATAGGTATGTGAGTGCACACTTCTAGAAGTATATAAACATGATTAGTATTATATACATATATTTTAAAAAAGCTCCAATTAATTAAATTTTATGTAATGCGATTTTAATATGTACATATAATAAATGTATAATGTATCTATGTGTATAGTCGTCTGTTATTGTCCTTACTAACGGTTAAAGGACTTTCTCGTGTCTACATATTTATATGAATGGAGTGGAGTTCCAAGAGGAACATCCGAGAAAAAATATAAAGAAATAATTTATTAAAATAAATTAAATGAAAAATTCTAACAAAAATAATATATAAAATGTACTTAAAATTATTAAAATAAATAAAAATAAAAATTTTAATAAAAATAATATATTGTATAAAATATAGTAAAAATTATAATAGATATTATATTTATTATATATTAAAAATATCGCTAGAACTGTATTAAAAACTACAAACTATTTACATATAACCTAAAAAAATAAATAAAAAAAATTGTATATATAATAATGGATAAAAATTGTAAAAATATTCATAAAAACTACAAAAATATAATATTTAGACATTATCTACATAATAATTATAAATTCTAAGTTATATATATAATTTTTGCAATACATTAATTTAAATAAATTTACTTAACTAATTTAATTTAAATTAATTTAACTAATCATAGTTAGATTCAAAAATAAAAAAAATGAATAATTAAAAACTAAATTAAAATTTGTTGCTATAAGCAAAATATTTTTGACAATAAAATATATTTTTTAAAATTAATTTAAAAATGTTTATTATTTGTGCAATTAACCAATTAGTTTATTCAAAAATATACAATAGATCTAATAAAAATATTATTAAATATAAGATATTTAAACTAGAAAATATGCAATAATATTAGTAACATTAGAACTTATAAATTTATCAAGAACTAATGACAAAACGTTATATGTGTAGAGAAACCAATCACTAGAAGTGAACCATTCCTTTTCAAAGCCTCTTCAACACAACTCCTTCCCTTTGTTACTAAAATTTAGTTTTGCAGCTTTTTTGGGCAGTGGTGAAAATCTTCTCCATTCATTCCTGAAAGGTGGTTCCAGTAGGTTAAAACGGGGGCGTCTTATTGATTTACGATAAGAACCTTAAAGTCACGCAAGTGACCTATAAATGATCTACTTTTATTTAATTTAAAATGATATGTTTTATTTATGGACTTGTCGTTCACAAAACATTGAACTGACTTAAAAAAAGTTGGTTTCGTAAATTAAATATATCTAAGTATTTTTATATAAAAAAAATTTTACTTTAAGTCGAACCTAGCTGAACATATCAGCAATATTAAAAAAAAAGGTTTAGAGAATATAAAAAAATAATTAAAATTAATTTCGCAGTTTAACAAAATAATAATAGTAATGAAAACAAATAAATAATAGTAAAAATAATAGAAAAAAAATAATAATAATACAAATAATTACACAAACTTTGAAAAAGTTAAAATAAACTTGAACTTTAAACAAAAACTATGTTATTTTAATTATGATATATAATAATTAAAAATATATAATAATATTGGAATAAATAATAAATTTTAAAATTAAAATTCATAATAACACTTTACCAGTTTAATACAAAACGTTTAAGGATATAATAAAAAATTATATTAAAAATTATTTTATATGATAAGATTTATTTGAAAAAATATATATAACATGAAAATGATAATATTAATGATACTTTTAATAGTTAAAAAAAATAAAATAATTAAATAAATATAAATAAAAATTTGCTGATATATTTTAAGAACAATATTGATTATTAAAAAACCAAAAAAAAATTCAATAATAAAAAATTTATATTAATTATGAAATTATTAATGTTAACATTTCATATATTAGCAATAATTAGAACAATTCAAAACAAACAAAAAAATAAATATATAAGAAAAAAAAACAATTATTAAAATTGTACCATTTATCACTCCTATTAGGGACTAAACAAGCAGATCCTTACGGGGTACAACAACAACAACTCTTATAGAAGAAGCAGTAAAAATTTAGATAAAACAGATGAGGTACATTACAGAGCGGGAAGTCCATGTTAATTCGAACTATAGTTGGTAAGGATACACATCAATCCAGCATTAAGAACGAATTTCAACTCTCCTTTTTGATGTTTTCGTTCTGATTTGTGAGAATTTCAATATTAAATTAGAATTTGGATCAAAATTTATGAATGGTTACCGGAGTACCAACCAAGCTAAAAGGCTGGGTTGCCTATAAAACTTCATAAAGACAGAACTTCTCTGTAGAACCAGCAGGTTATCTAACGGAACATTTCAGCTTGTCTTATTGTTTCAACAAAATGTATCTTTTCAAGGTGAAGGAGTGACGTGCCTACCTGTGTGGAGATTAATCCTTGTTAAATTTTTTTGAGTATACAACTATGTTGTAGGTCTTGAGAACAGACATATTTAGGTTCGTTATTAGGAAACTTTTAACGAAAGACATTCTAATGTACATCCAAAACGCTAAAAGTGTTTTCTTTAGTTAGTCTGACGGCAGCAGTTTTGGAGTCACAAATCCCTTTTGAATTCTAATTTATTCTAATATAAGGGTTAAAACTACTTCTTATATATTAACGAGAACTCCGCTAACTGTTTTTCAAGGTCAATTATTTTTAAACAATTATAGTAAATAATTTGTGAAAATAATATTTTATTTTAGTGCATGTATGTAGTTTATATATATAAAAATTAAAAAATAAAATTATAATATTTCAAAATTTTAATAATTTAGGTTCAAAAATAAAGCCTAGACTATAGCAGTGATTATTAGTGTTCAGTTATTAGTTCACATACATTCACACAATAGCAAGCGAATACGTATTCCCGTGCTGTATTAAGGGTTAAAATATCTGTTTATTGTGGAATAAAAATAAAAATAAAAACAAAATGCAATTGTGTGTTATAT